AATGTATGAACTTAAAAATTTCAAACTAATCAAATAAATCAAATTGATTGTCAAAATAATAACCTACAAGATTTAAGCTTTCTTTCGTCTCTTGCTCCCGAAGAAATCATTATCATTCCCAGCCAGGGCAAAAAGAAAAAAACCAAGTCAGAAACGGAAGCCAAAGAAAAAATACCTTGAATTTTAATATATTTAAACTGGTTCTTATTCAACTGGTAAAATACCTATATTACTGTATTAGCCATTCATCGCTTCACCAATATCATAATTTTCACCATCATTCGGATCTTTTTTTTATAACTACTACTACAGATAGCAGTCTTCCGAATTCCCATAGAATTACCAGGCTTCAGATAGTATGAAAACGCTTTTTGCTTATCAATTCCAACGCCAATTCCTAAATAATAACATAACCAACTTGATATATTCCGTTAGAATTCCTCATGTCTGCTGATTTTTGGTAATGCGTGAAAAAAATTTTACATCACACAAAGTAAATCTTTAAATACCGTTAAACGTTTTATCTTTTATAGATCGTTCAGATCTCTCTTGTAATCGCCTTGATTACAAGTTTTTAAAACCGTTGAAGTAAAGCTTTCTAGAAAAAAACCCTAAAAAAAAAAGTATTTCCCGGGCCTACTTAGCTATATACTATTAGGCTAATAGTAAAAATTCGGCATTAGTAGAAGTCTCCCGGGAATCTGATTATATCATTAAATTTGACAGCCGCTAGTAAGGCCAAAGACCAATATATTCTGAAAGTTATTCGCTCATAGGTGACATATACGACGACTTGTCATATGAGCGATTACGTTTTCATATAGGGGGTACTCTAAAACCAATATAAATAATTGTGTAACGATCGACGTTACAGTTGTACCACATCAGCCAATCAAAACGACTTTCCATCAGTGAAATGTGATGAAATAATTTCATATGTATAACAATACATATTATTGTTATATATAAATTATTATGCTATAAATATATCAGATACGTATCAGATACGTATACGTATGGTTCATAATTTATCCCTGAAATAGCATTACTATATTAGCGTTAATGGATCATGTGTTTATTAATAAAGGATCGCCGTCGTATATGACATACAATAATTTTTTCTCTTTCGTTATTGTAAACATAAATAATGTTAAGATCACTACTAATGTTCCTTTCATTAATGATAATATATATGAGCGTAGCAACTATTTTGATAATAGGCTTCTCTTCAATATTTAAAGATTCTTTGATAACAAATACTTTTGCCCAAGAATTAAACACCTCGATAGCGACACCATATCCAAAAATATTTGAAGAAGTGTATGCGGATTCAATATTAGATTTTTTTGTACTTGGCGATTGGGGGTTTAATTCAAATGGCTCCGGGCGAAAACATGGTGATCAAGTTCATGTTGCCTTCGCTATGGATAGCTGGGCAAAAAGACACAATACTAACTTTATTATTAATGTTGGTGGTAAGTTCTTAATTCTTTGATTTTACATTCCTAATTACATTAAGCATATTAATTGTCGGGGATGATGCTGAAATTAGCTGATGCTGAAATTTAGAGTCCCCATTTAAATCTACAATACCTACTAAAATTCACATATACTTTTTTACTAACAACACTAACCATAAACCCTAACCTAACCCTAAAAAAAACCCTAACGAAAAGGCCCGAAAATTTCATAATAAATAGGTCAAAATTTCAGCATCATCCGATTTCAGCATCATTCCCGACAATGATTAATGACGGTTTAATTTATTTATTTATTTTAGATAGTTTTTATAAAAATTATAAAAAAGATCATCAGGGAGTAGAAAGTGTTGATGATCCAAAATGGAAAACGAATTGGTTAGACGTATATAAGGGAAAATTATCAGAAATACCTTGGTACAGCGTCGCTGGAAATCACGATTGGTATAACAATGTAACAGCTCAAGTTGACTATTATTGGTCAAAGAATAATCGATTTTTTCTTCCTTCTCTATTCTATGTTCGCACTTCAGTCTTTGGTCCGGAGAAAACTAAAGTGGCTTGGTTACATATTGATACTAACATATTTTATTATAAATATGAGGATTTGACTAACAAGAATTTATTAAAAAGTAATCTTCGTAATTTTGATGTACATACTTCAAAATCAATTGAAAGTAAATTAAAATGGATTGAAGAAAATTTAGCGTTGCAAAAAGATGCTAAATGGATCTTTGTTGTTGGTATGTTGTTTTTACTTCATTGTTTTATGCAGGTTTGAACATTAGTAATATTGTATCTTAAAAATTTTCTTAAAAATTAGGCCATCATCCACTTATTGGTGATTGTGTAAATTACCAACATATGTCTCGTTTATTGTCACTTTTTGAAATTTATCGGGTAACTGCATATTTTGCTGGTCACTCTCATGTTCTAGAGTATCAGTATCCAAAACCTTCATCACCTGTAGCAATATTTACCTCCGGAGCAGGAAGCCGATCAAGTGGTGGTTGTCGTGGCAAAGATTGGGGAATGCCCGAAGGAACATTAGGGTTTTTACATGCTAAAATTGAGAGCAATAGTGATGAAATGTCGTTTGAATTTGTGGACGCAACTACTTATAAAGCTAAAGTTGTTTTTCAAGGAAAAGTCAATTCTACTTCAATTTGGTATCCCAAAATGGTCAAAAAGAGTTAAAAAAAAAAAAGTTTATCTGAGAGTTATCTTTATTTTTTTAAAAAAACCGCACAAAAAGGCGGCTTAATAACTTTTACTATGAAAATTTACTAGTTTGTTTCTAGTAATACTAGGTTGGGGTTTGGATATTTGAGGCGTTGTAAATCTAATTTGCCATAGTGCTTCATAAGTTTAATTTAGCACTTAGTAAATTAAATTGATTTATCGTTATTGTACAATTTATCTAAAACACGTCGTTAAACATTACATAAGATTATGAGAATTTAGATTATTTATTGTAGTATATCTATTGCTTTTGTTAGCAACTAAAAAAAAATTTTAATACGTAGAGTGCGGATATCCTTAAATCAACATATAAAATATATAATCTTTAAAATAGTTATAAGTAATAACTAAAGAACAAGGTTACAAAGTATTTTTCTTAATTAATTAAAATTTAATAGTTATATTCTTTTAAAGTTACCCAGTTTTATTAATAAATTTTTTTTTTTTTTTTTTTAAAACGCGAAATGGCGTACTTTATATATTAATAAATTTAAAAATTTGGCTATTTTAATTTTGGCCATAATTATTTGAAATTAGATTATCCATGGATATCCAGATCTGAATTTATTCGGATATCCGTTTTACTATTGATATCCGGATAATTATCCGAATATTTGTCGGATTATCCGGATACCAATAGTAAATGGATATCCGGATAAATTTAGATATGGATAAATGGATGACGGATTTATCCGGATTGGACCTCTATTTGAAATTAATATAATTTGGCCATAATTATTTGAAATTAATATAATTTGATCAAAATTATAAAATTATTTAGCACTGTATTAATGAAAAAAATTGGATATTGCTAACTTGCTCTCTGGTTAAATTATCAAAAAGCTATATATTTTTTTTTTAAACTTTGGCATAACTTGTCGTGTATATGTATATCTTTATTAAATTTTTTTATACCTAAGTAGAGGTTCAATCCGGATAAATCCGATATCCATTTATCTATATCTGAATTTATCTGAATATTTATTTATTATTGATATCTGAATAATCTGACAAATATTTGAGTAATTATTCAAATATCAATAGTAAAATGGATATCTAAATAAATTCAGATCTGGATATCCAATAGATAAATATAATGAATAGGAACTCTATACCTGAGTACAAAATTGTAAAGGCAAAAGTAATTATACTAACATCATTTGACTACATGCTAAAAGCAAAATGCTGTATAGAATTTATCAACTCTACACTACTATAGAAAATTATTTCTGAAAAAACTATTTTTTTATATAAAAAAAAAACTAAAAAAAAAAAAAAAAGAAAAAAAACTAATTTAAGAAAATGAAAAAAAAAACTAAAACAAGAAAAAAAAATATAAGTTTTAGGTTATTTTCAAGCCTAATATATTAAATAAACTAAAAGTATTAACAATACTTATGCTAAGTCTAAAAAATTATAACAAATACAATATCTATATATCTTTACTGTAAAGCTTT